TTTATAGCCCTTCTCCTTGTGGGACACATGGTCTGTTAGGGGAGACAAACATCAATCAAATGCTTACACAAGTAAATACATTGTTTTAATCTTTTAAAATGACACGAAGAAGGAAGAATGTAGAATTCTAAGAGATTCTGAAAGAAAAAAAGAGGAGGAATGAGATCCTCATCTCAAAATTGACATGTATACCTAAATCTAAATGATGAGGATGAGGACAAGTGAGTATGAAAGATTAATTTACACTGATGGAAATTTTAAAAAAAAGAAGTGGAATAAGTCAAATTTACAAAACACAGCACATTGGTGGCTGATGTTTCAGGCAAAAGATGAAGTTGGAGAATGAAGCACGACCTGTAGACCATATTGTAATTTTGGCCCTATTCACAGAATAATGGGAAGTTACTAAAGTCTTTAATCACAGGAGCACCAAAATTAGATATGCAGTAATATTAAAGACCTTTCAGGCTACACCATGGAGAACGAATTGGAGGAGGACACAGACAGATTTTCAGAAATTAGTCAGGAAGATACTGCAGTGATTTGGGCAAGGTATTGTGTGAACTCCTACTGGTGAGGTGGCTGAGGAGTTAGAAGGAAGTGTTTAGGCAAGACGTATTTTAGGAATTAAAGTCAGCCAATCTGTCAGTAATTTTGGTAAAATTCAGGGAAGTTTCTGACTTTTCAATTTGGAGAAGTATAGCACCTCCGAGAAGGAAACTACAGTGCAAAAGAATATGTCTCTGGGAAATATCAAGATTTTGGTTTGAAGCATCTTTGAGAAAGATCTTTAGATGGATGGGCTGGAACTCAGGTTAGACTTTAGGAGTTGTCAGTGTCAAGAGGATAATTGAAGTACTGGGCATGGATGTGATACCTAACATGAAAGTATGGAGTGAAAAGATAGCCTAGGGCCTTACCTTAAGTAACTCTGAGAGTTAATGGCTGTTTAGAGGAGAATGAGTCAAAAAAGGAAACTAAGTAATAGGAAGAAATCCAGGAATGTAGAAGCAAAAGTAGGAGATGTCACAGAATCTCATGGACAAAGAATGTATTGGGGATGAAAATGTCACTAGGGTAGAAGGATGCACCAAGTTAGAGAAAAATTGAAACATGCATGAGAGAGTAATGGAATTAAGGCATAAAAGTTAAATTCCAGGTCATATGTCCTTCTTACATATTTAGCTTGTTTTTACATGCAGATGCCTTGGATGTTGTGGGGAAAACAAGACAATGTAAATCATGCTCTTTTTGAACATCAAAATGGATTCTTGAGCACCAGACAGGAGCGTTAGTTAGCAGTATTAGTGCACTCAAGTCTTCCAAAGTGTTTCTTTCTTTCTTTTCTTTTCTTTCCTTCCTTCCTTCCTTCCTTCCTTCCTTCCTTCCTTCCTTCCTTCCTCCTTTCTTTCTTTCCTTTTGTTATAACCCCCCTAAGGAGACATTTGGATATATATTTTTAATCCCTGCCATCCCTGCATCATAAAATGTTAATGCCACAGTTATACTTTTATTCTGCTCTTTGGAGTCCCACAAACCACTGCAATAGCTAACACTTCTCTTTTGCGCCATACGAACCTATCTTTGACTCCTTGTGAAAAATAGCATCTCCATTGAGAATGCATGATTTAATGGTTGAAGCTTTTGGCCTATTTTTTGTTCTCTATAAGTTCTGTATAAGTTTTTAAATACATTTTATTTTTATGTTTGTAATTCTAAGTATATGAACTATAAAAATAAAATAAATAGATAATTAAATAAATGAAAAGGAAAAAAAAAAAACTTCAGCCCATCCAAGATCCAAGTTATTCATAAATCTTTAGAAAGAGTGGGATATGAGCAATCTGTACCATGTACAAGTCATGGTAATCTTACACATCTTGCTAAATTATGTTATAAGAAGCACAGATTTATTGCCTTTGAGCCAGATGATGTCTCCGAGATGCGGTTTCTATACTTTCATGAGGTGACTATGAAGCTCGTCTTAACCAGGCCTGAGCAGTGTCGTGTTTAAGCCACTGGTTTTCTCTAAAGTGCCTCACTGCTGCTTCTTCCCCCTGCAGGTTTTGATGGCTGCATTGCTTCTGTGCTGTATGGTGGAGAAAGTCTTCCTTTCAGTGGGAAGCATAGTTTGGCCTCTATCTCAAAAACAGATCCCTCAGTGAAGATTGGTTGTCGTGGCCCGAACATTTGTGCCAGCAACCCCTGCTGGGGCGATTTACTGTGCATTAATCAGTGGTATGCCTACAAGTGTGTGCCTCCTGGAGACTGTGCCTCCCACCCATGCCAGAATGGTGGCAGCTGTGAGCCAGGCCTGCACTCTGGCTTCACCTGTAGCTGCCCAGAGTCATACACGGGGAGGACCTGTGAGACGGTGGTGGCCTGTCTTGGTGTCCTCTGTCCTCAGGGGAAGGTGTGCAAAGCCGGAAGCCCCGGGGGGCATGTCTGTGTTCTGAGTCAGGGCGCGGAAGAGATCTCTCTGCCTCTGTGGGCCGTGCCTGCCATCGTGGGCAGCTGTGCAACCGTGCTGGCCCTCCTGGTCTTGAGCCTGATTCTGTGTAATCAGTGCAGGGGGAAGAAGGTCAAAAATCCCAAAGAGAAAAAACCAAAGGAGAAGAAGAAGAAGGGAAGTGAGAATGTTGCTTTTGATGACCCAGACAATATCCCCCCATATGGAGATGACATGACTGTGAGGAAACAGCCTGAAGGGAACCCTAAACCAGATATCATTGAAAGGGAAAACCCCTACCTTATCTATGATGAGACCGATATCCCTCACAACTCAGAAACCATCCCCAGTGCCCCTCTGGCTTCACCGGAGCAGGAGATAGAGCACTATGACATTGACAACGCCAGCAGCATTGCCCCTTCAGATGCAGACATCATCCAACACTACAAGCAATTCCGCAGCCACACACCGAAATTTTCTATCCAGAGGCATAGTCCCCTAGGATTTGCAAGGCAATCCCCCATGCCCTTAGGAGCAAGCAGCTTGACTTACCAGCCTTCATATGGTCAAGGTTTACGAAGTGGCTCCCTAAGCCACTCAGCTTGCCCAACTCCCAACCCTCTGTCCCGACACAGCCCGGCCCCTTTCTCCAAGTCCTCTACTTTCTATAGGAACAGCCCAGCAAGGGAATTGCATCTTCCTGTAAGGGATGGGAATACTTTGGAAATGCATGGGGAAACTTGCCAGCCTGGCATTTTCAACTATGCCACAAGGTTGGGAAGGCGAAGCAAGAGTCCTCAGGCCATGGCAGCCCATGGATCTAGACCAGGGAGTCGCCTAAAGCAGCCTATTGGGCAGATTCCTCTGGAATCTTCTCCTCCTGTCGGACTGTCAATTGAAGAGGTAGAAAGGCTGAACACCCCTCGCCCTAGAAACCCAAGTATCTGCAGTGCAGACCATGGGAGGTCTTCCTCAGAGGAGGATTGCAGAAGACCACTGTCCAGAACAAGGAACCCAGCGGATGGCATTCCAGCTCCAGAATCTTCTTCTGATAGTGACTCCCATGAGTCTTTCACTTGCTCAGAAATGGAATACGACAGGGAAAAGCCAATGGTATATACTTCTAGGATGCCCAAATTATCTCAGGTCAATGAATCTGATGCAGATGATGAAGATAATTATGGAGCCAGACAGAAGCCTAGAAGGTACCATGGCCGCAGGGCTGAGGGAGGACCTGCAGGCCCCCAGGCAGCAGCACCAGGGGTTGCTGACAACACACTGCCCTTGAAGCTTGGGCAGCAAGCAGGGAATTTCAACTGGGACAACCTTTTGAACTGGGGCCCTGGCTTTGGCCATTATGTAGATGTTTTTAAAGATTTGGCATCTCTCCCAGAGAAAGCAGCAGCAAATGAAGAAGGAAAAGGAGGGACAACTAAGTCAGTCCCCAAAGATGGGGAAACAGAACAGTATGTGTGAAGTTGATGTACTGGCATTATAAAATATAAAAACAAGAAACATTCAAACCATTGTAAGGTTGCTGACTAGGTTGAGTCACATTTGAAAAACAGGCCAGTATGGACTTGGTGGTCGAGGGAAACTAAAAATAATAACCACAATGCTGCTGAAACAGACAACTCTTTAATTTAAATACACTTGATTGAATTTATTTTTCTGCATGCATTGTATTTTGTAAGTAGTTGTGTGGCATGCAGCATTTGGAAACTTTTTCTCATTTACCAGTGTTTGATTTGTGATTTTTAACATTAATACTGTTACCATTGCAGAAATGAACTTGTGCTTTCATAGTGGGGCATGTGTACTGTTTCCATCGTATTATTATGTTTTGCATTGGAAGATCCTTGAGGTTTAACCAATCCTTGTAAAGTGTAGAAAAGAACCCTCTTATCCTTGAGTGAAAGACTAATTATTAACACTTTTCAGAACTGTAGATTCCATATTCGATGTTGCTCAGAAATGTCTGAGTATTTGAATAAGTTTTACATGACAGTGGGTACTAAAATTAAGTCATTTTGTTCAGCACTTTAAAACTTTCTTACAAAATTGTGTTAAAACTTCCTGAAACTTTTTGCAAATGATTACAGTCTCCTGACTTCCATCAGGCTTCCCTTAGGAACAAAATGATTGCATGTTGTCCCCAGAACATTGCCATGTTCCTAGTGTGGAAAGGGAAGATTTTCTTAGCAGCACTTCTGAGAAACACTTTTGAAAGTTATTTATTGAAAAAATGTTCTATGCTTTTAACATTTTAAAGAATGGACCTACGGAAAGACTACGACTGGACTGCTTTTTCAATCTTTTGACATTTACCCCAAGTACCCAGTTTTTGTAATTTATATAAAGTCAATTTCAACACTTCTTACTTTCTGTCATTTTGTAGATCATTTTTTTAATACTGTGTAAAAACATTTTTTTACACCTAAGCTGTGTTTTTGATACTGATATTTTCCTATGCTGAAAGTTTTCTTACTTTCAGGGAAGGTAAGAAAATACATTTTTTACATTTGTTACTTATGTAACGTTCATATTTTTCACATTTTGATATTTGTAACATACTGTATGCTTTCTACTTGTAAATGCCAACAATAGAATTAAATATTTATTTAAAATACTTTGCATTCATAGTGTAATATTAATTTTGCATCTTTCTGTACTCTATGTATGCTCAATTATGAATATTCTCTACTTGTCAATAGGGTATGGCAATTTGAACTATATGTGGGAAGCATCATTTTCTTTTAAAAAACATGAATATGGATAATTTCCAGAACAGATACTTTAAGGTCATTTTAGTGCATTCCTACCTGTCAGAGTTCTTGAACTTCCCTAGAGTATAATGAGTCTAGACTGGGTTGGTCTTAGGGGACTAACTTTGTTATGAACCTGGTTTAAGCATCCTGGCAATAAGTGTTAGGAAGTTCCCAGTAGAGTATGTTTACTGAAGGCGAGCAGCAATGAATTAAAGCTAATTATGGAAAAATGTCTGGGTCTGGTTTTCTGCAATGACCCAGCCCAAAATTTTCCAAGTCCAATCATGGGTAAAAAGAATGACAGAGAAAGCTCTGCTCTGCATACCTCTTAAATTTATTGATTATTCTGCTGCATGAGCTCTAAAAATTTTTTGCATGCTATCTTAGACAAGACAAACCTCTATTTTCAAGTAGTCACCAAGAGTGAGAACCTCTGAAGAAGGGGATGATACACAGCAGGATCCATTTGTGTGTATAAATAGTTATATCTTAAATAATAGGACTTATAAAAATTACCTCACAATCTCAGAACGTTTTGTAATTAAATATCTGCTCCAAACCATATTTGTTGAGAATACGCTCCTTTAATACTGACTGTACCATATCGAATAGGGATTTTAACAATATGTAAATGTTTTAGTAAATAAAATATCCTTAAATTAACACCAAAATATTGAGATATATGCCAGAATTATTTTGTCATTTAATAATGTTGAGATTATTATTTTTGTTTCTGAATAGGAAGTAAATATGGGTTTAATCTAAAGGATGATATTCCTTTAATGCGGTTTAGAGACTGAGTGTATGACGCTAATCTAATTTGTTCTTTTTTGTCACCTGTGATGAACCAACATGTTTTAGTATTTCCTATGAATTTTAGTATTATGAATTTATGCTTCAAATATAGGAACATGTTGATTTCTTTGTGTAAGTGAAAACTGAATACATTTTTTTTCTTGAGAAACTTTGAAGTATCTCCATGTCTTCAAGGATATAAACTCTGTAATTTATAACAGAGCTAAAAGTAACATGATAAACATGATTATAGCTAAGGGTTAAGGGGAAAGAACTTGAGCCAAGATTCTGTGTTATTATTCTTTAAGAATTCTTTGTTAGCTGGAGAATTACTATTCCCTTGACTAATCGATCCCAGTTTAGGAACAAGATAGTATTCTTATAGGAAAATTTCTAGTTTTGGGTTCTAGAAATCTTTTCTATTGAAAGAAGAACAGTATTTATAGCAAAACAAATCAGAAACGTACGAAATGAAGGTCTCACTTAAAACGGTGATTAATACTTAACTCATTGAAGTATTGAAGTGACACGGCATATACTATGTGCAAAGGGATTATAAGCAAATTGACAGGGTAACATTCCCACAAATAAATGGTTAGTAGTGACCTGCATACTCATGTTCTGCATAAAATCCCAACCTTAGAATTTTAATCCAGCCCCATAAAGGTTTATTGGATTGCCTGGAATACAGTCACTCTTTTGGGCTCTGTCTGGATCTTTGCTGTGGAGAACATTACTTTCTTTCAGGTGAATTCTGAAAACACCCTAGTGGGGTTGCTGCCAGTCAGGAAAAGAAGACTGTGATCACTCAGCCACAAGATCTGTGAGCTTAGAGTGGCAGCATGACACACGACTCTGCTTACTCAGCTCTAAAGGGGCACACTGCTGTTGCTCTCATGGTTGTTTCTGGAATTTTGTAAATTAGCTAATTTTAGTGATAGCTTGTTAAGATAAATTAAAATCATTTTAGAAAAATGGAGCACCAGAAGGGCCTGGAGCACAACCCCCCCCCAATTAAGTGTGTTAAAATGCTCACCAACACCCTGGTTGATGAGAAATTTAATTGGCTTACACTTTTGAAAGTTGTATCCTTTATAAATTATAAGGGAAAATAAAATATATCACCAAGTAACTTTATTACTTCTAGACATTCTATTGAAGAATAAACCACTGTTGTAATGTTAATGTATTTTTATTTTATTGAATTTAACATTATGGTAAAATAAATCTTTGAAATGTGAGTATTTTTTAAAAAATTAAATCAATAATTCATCAATGCAATTTTTCTTTTCCCATTTTAGTTTGTCACAGATTCAATTTTTAAAGGACTAACATTTTGAGTTTACCTTCCCTTAAGAAAAATAAATCTAGCGATGAAATACATTTTAGCACATTATTAGGCCTTTCAGTGTGAAGTAAAATATTACAGTCTGTGACTAGTATATGTCCCTTAAAGATATCTTTAATGAAATACCACATCATTAGTAATTTATATGGTTACTACTATTGAGCCAGGAAGTACTTTTAAAGGTTTTTCAATCCAAGTGTTATAAGTTAGTTTGATACTTGAATTTAATATTTTCAATTATTGTTAATGAGGGAAAAGTCATGAGGTTTTAATAAATTTTGTGCTCATAAATAAATAGCAATGGTCCAATCTTAATGTAACTTACGCATCTATGGTAATCATTGCCAACAAATATATTCTGGACTAAAGACTATGAAGTACAATTGTCTCTTTTAACAGAGAAGTATGTTGAGATACAAAGAAGTTCAGTGGCCTTGGTTAGATTTAATCACAAGCAATAATTAATGCCCTTTACATGCCTGACACTCTTCTAGATCATGGGAATGAAATAGTGAAAGAACAGACAAAGCACCTGCCTTGATGGAAATGACATCCTAGTAGAGGAGATAGACAATAATAATTATGCAGTATATCTACTAGAGGCAAGTGCTATCAAGCCGATCAAAATTGGTTAAGGGGCAGTGTGTATGCTATTTTAGATGGGTTGGTCACAAAGACCTTTCTGGGGAGGTGACAACTGAGCAGAGAGTTGAATGAGGCAAGTGAGTGAGCCATAGACACACATGTGTGTCACTGTTGCAGGCAGAGGCAGTGGCATGGGGAAGCTTGGGATAGGAGAACATTTCACGTTAAAGGAATAGCGAGTCAATGAGGCCAGATTGTTGTCAACACATCAGCAAAGACTGCACCACAAAAAGCTTAGGGATGAAAGTATGTGAGGATATAAAGTATGAATGATCGTTTAGAACAGGCCCTGAGCCTTGGCCACGCTCCCCCCTCCCCCCGACACGTGCAACCAGCCCAGCTATGACCACCAAGCCGCAGCAAGAAGGGCCCTGGTTCCTGAGCTGGGATGGTGGAGAGCGAGGGCTTTTGCCACACCCCCATGACATCTGCACTCAGCCCGGCAATGACCAAGCCACCGCTGGAAGCCCCCTGGTCTCCCCTGTGGGAATGAGGGGGGTACCACAGGCCTCAGTCCCACCTGTCCTCCTTTGTCCCTCTTCCATCCCATTTCCTTCCCCTTCCCCTCCACCCCCCAGCCTCCCAACTGCTCCGCAGCAGCATCACAGAATGTAAAGTAATAATAATAATATTCATTAAAAAATAATAATAAATGAAATTTGAGTCACTGTATATGAAATGTCCCTCTTCCATCCCATTTCCTTCCCCTTCCCCTCCACCCCCCAGCCTCCCAACTGCTCCGCAGCAGCATCACAGAATGTAAAGTAATAATAATAATATTCATTAAAAAATAATAATAAATGAAATTTGAGTCACTGTATATGAAAACCTATGGATGGAATCATTAAACAACCCAGGAGCTCCTTGTGGAAATGTGTCCCCTTTGAATTTCCCGGTTGCTGTAGAACAGGCTGGAAGGCCTATCTGAGGGCAGGCTAACAATGCGCTGATTCCCTGTGTGTCTGTGCTGAGTTGCTGCCCTTGTAGCTTCTCCACCATTGTTGGTAAAATGGCACAAGAAACTGTTAAAGCCAAATTTCCCACTTGATCTCAGGAGTGTTCTTCTCGCTTTGGATGTTTCAGTGGACAGAAGGTGCACTTTTACAGCGTTGGATGTACAGGGGCAAATTTCAGTATGTCACTGCTGCTCTTTATTTTTAAGGGGGCAGGGAGGGGAGAAGACAGTGGGATGCCCTCGGAGGCCGGGGTAAGAGTCATACCAGCTCTCAAATAACTAGGACCTGTTCTTCTTCTGTAACAGAATAGGATGACATTTTTGTTCTATAGTAGCCTAAATGGTGAGTGGTAATTTGTTACAACAGACACTGCTAAAATTCGCTGATTATCAGTTGTCAATTTGATTTGGTCGTTTTAAATTTGTATGTCCTTCTCTCTGATTCCTTAGCCAAATATCTAGTGATGAGAATTTGTAATCTATGCATTGGTGTTTGTTATAAATCCATTTTAATTTACATTAAGGATTAGATAAGTAGACATATCTATTTTATCTGTTTAAAAAAAAAAGGCCCTGAAACAGAATTATTGTTGGAAAACAAATATGCAAATGCAAAGTAAATCCTGAAAATGTGGCCATGAACTCAGTTTGCACAGATGTCTGAGATCAGTGCACAGACGACAAAAAACAAGACATGGATAATTGAGGGGAATGTCTTCGCTAACAGATTAATCTATGCTATCCTTTATGAACAACCGAAACCTGGAAGAATATGATATATGATAGCAAGGGAGGCTATTTCCTTATTGCTGAGGCATTTATATGCCCAAAGTATGAGATATCTACCGAAGAAGAGGTTGTAGAAATTTTCATTTAAAAGAATTGACCTGTATTTTTTTTTTAAAGTGGATTGTTTATGGGGAAAAATTGTCAAACTGAGAAAAATTTATATTGGTGGGAGGGAGTGATGGCAAATAAGATATCTCTGAGGGACAATGGAAAATCTGTCTGATTTCAAGGCAACTAAGGGTTTCCCAAATAGTTTTTAATGAGTATCTGTTTGTTTATTTGTTTATAATGTGTAGTTACCTCGATCTTTGCATCACTAGTAAGCTTTTTTCAAAGTATGCTGGAATTTCAGTAAGAATCCACGTGATGTGTGCTGAAGCAGAATTAAGATATAAAGACATATTTTTGGCATTAATCATGAAAACTCTTGGGAAGTCTTTTTATGCATATGTATAATGTGCATATGTCAGACCCATAATTGTGCTATGATGCATGTAGACAATTCTGAAAATATGTAATTTATATCAATATAGAAAACCTAAAGACAGTTTATACTATTAAAGGAATATGTTGAATGAGTGACAGATTCATCAAATGCCTATATAATGTGTTATATACTCAAACTAGACATACTAAGACATATTTGTGAGGTAGTCTCCATATCTGAAGAAATGCAAAGGCCCACAGAATATTTAGAAACACACTGCCTAAATGTAGATGATTGTCAGGTGACCCATTTGGGTACTTCCAACTTTATTTGTTTATGAATCAGTTTTTCAAACTCCCAACTCAAAGTGCAACATACAAAGTGCAGTCACCATGGTATTCAGGCAGAAAGTTGGATTTAATGTACATACTATTCTAGCCCCAATAAGATAACCAACATTGTACAAAATCCTTTAGCAATGTCACTGAGTTCCCCATTTCAAATTGAAACCATATTGCATGTGGTACAGATGTTGATCAAAATAAGATTACACTTTACCAGAACAGTCTGCTCACTCAAGTCATCCTTCCCTCTCTCTATTTGCACAGAATACTGCTGAACACAGAGTTGTTGCTACTTGACCTAGAAGTTGAAAAGTAAAACATTCCAGAGAAATGTCTCTTTAGAAAAACAGTATGGTTAAGACAGCATA